GAGTTCCAGGACAACCTCCAAAGCAATACAAAGAAACCCTGTTTCAAAAAACCAAAAACCAAAAACCAAACCAAACCAAAACAAAAGTGTTTATGACTGACCACTTGGAACTGGGTAACATATCAGGAGGTTTGCCCCCGGAGAAGATAGATTCATCTTCACTGAGCAGCCATTAATTGGCTGTAGATCTTTATCTAGGAGTGGGGCCCTGTGCTGTCCCCCACCCACACTGAAATGCCAAATGGTGTTGTCGTTGTGCAGGTCTTTTTTTGACAGCCATCTTGTTTAGATTTCATGGATGCAGCATCCTTGCTGAGTCTAGAAGACACTGTCTTTCAGCAGACCTCCTAGACCTCTGCTTCTTATGATCTTTCTGCCTCCACTTCTGTGATGTTCTCAGAACCTTGTGTATAGGAACTGTGTTGTGAATATATCAGCTGGGGATGGGCAGCCCACAGTCAGTTCTTCTCTGCATTTTGACCAGTGTGTGAATGTCTGTAATGGTCTCCATCTGCTGCAAACAAAGCTTGTTTGACGAGGAGTGAGAGCTACGCGCATCTGTGATGTGAGTTTTGTTACATAGAATGCACTAGGTAATTGCACTGGTCTAGGTGTCAGCAGTAGGTTCTCCTCTATTGGGGTCCACGACCCCACAGCCACAGGTAGGTTGACTAGGTTTATAGTATCAGGCATGGATTCCTCCTACTGAGTGGGCTGTAAGTCTAATTAGACAGCTGTTAGCTGCCTCCAGGATGTAAGTGCCACTATTGCACCCTGGGGTATAGCTTGCTGTGATGGTCATTGTTGTGGTTTGAGAACTAGGTAGGACTAGTAATTGCTGTTTGCATTGGTAGCTTGCATAGCACCTTCAGATTTTATGAGAGCTGGTCCTCAAGGAGGAGGCTTCCAGCTTGAGTCCTCCAAGTCCTATGTCAAAAGTGTATGGTGTGTTCAAAAATTTTATTTTTCTGCTAAGAAACTCATTGCATGATGGACGATTTCCTTTTTTTTTTTTCTTAGCAAGAAAATTATTTTACATGTCAATCCCAGGTCCCTCTCCCTCCCCTCTTACCCGGCCCCCTCCAAGCTAACGCCCTACCCATCCCATACCCTTTCTGCTCCCCAGGAAGGGTGAGGCCTTCCATAGGAAGGGTCTTCGAAGTCTGTCATATTCTTTGGGATAGGTCTTAGGCCAATACACTTGTGTCTAGGCTCAGGGAATATCCCTCTATGTGGGATGGACTCCTAAAGTCCATTCCTATGGTAGCATAAGTACTGATATACTACAAGAGACCCCATAGATTTCCAAGGTCTCCTCACTGACACCCACATTTAGGTAGTCTGGACCCCTTTGCTCATCAGTCCTCCTTCTCTGCATCTGGATTTCAGTTCAGTTCAAGGTTTAGCTGTGGGTGTCTGCTTCTACTTCCACCAGCTGCTGGATGAGGGCTATGCGATGGCATATGAATTAGTTATCAATCTCATTATCAGGAAAGGGCATTTAAGGAAGCCTCTCCTCTGTTGCTTAGATTGTTAGTTGGTGTCATCTTTTTAGATCTCCAGACATTTCCTTCCCTAGTGCCTGATTTCTCTTTAAACCTAAAATGTCTCCCTCTATTATTATCTCTTACCTTGCTCTCTTCTGTTCTTCCCCCAGCTCAACCTCCCTGTCCCATCATGTCTTCCTCACCCCTCCTCTTTTCCCCTTCTCATTCTCCTAGTTCCCTCCTCCCTCCACCCATGCTCCCAATTTTCTAGGAGACATTGTCCCTTTTCCCTTCTCCAGGGAACCATGTTTGTCTCTCTCAGGATCCTCCTTGTTTACCAGCCTCTCCGGCAGCCTGGGCTGCAGACTGTCAATCCTCTATGTCTAAAATTCACATATGAGTGAGTACACACCATGCCTGTCTTTTTGTAGCTGGGTTACCTTGCTCAGAATGGTTTCTTCTAGGTCCATCCATTTGCCTGTGGATTTCAAGATTCTATTGCCTTTTTTCCACTGAGTAGTACTCCATTGTGTAAATGTACCACATTTTACCTATCCATTCTTCAGTTGAGAGACATCTAGGTTGTTTCCAGGTTCTGGCTATTAGAAATAATGCTGCTATGAACATAGTTGAACAGATGGTGGACGATTTTCTTTACTAAAATTTGATGATTAGTTTTCTCTTAGGAAAGACAAACTTAAAGTAACTTTGACTTTGAATGACTTGCTTCCATTCATCAATATTAATTTGAAATAAAACCAAAGAGATGAGAAGTTTTAAATTCTATGATGGTGTGACTCTACAGTCTCTGCGACTCAATACATTGATAAAGATGACATTATTGAGAATGTTCATAGTATGGGTCACAACCATTTTCTTCATGTTATTATAAGTGAAATCATGGCCTTTTTGATAAATTTTGTTGTGTTATATGAAAAAGTCAGTGCTGTCTCTAATGCTGGAATGAACTGATTTGCCCCTGTATCATGAGTTGATATTTTGGTTTCTTGGTTCCTTTGTTATCACAGCCTGACTTTTAAGGAATATCTATTGATATTTAATATAAAGGACATTTATTTATACTAAGTAAATATTTTTCATTCTCTGGGCAGAATACAAAAAATACTAAGAGGAAGTTGGGGAAACAGCTGGTGGGTAGTGTTTGACGTGCAACCATGAGGACCTAGAATGTACTGAAAAGCTGGGTGTGGTGATAACACCTGTAACGGGGGCTCTGGGGAGATGGAGACAGACAGATACTAGAGGTTCTGTGGCCAGCCAGTTTAGCCTAATAACCAAGCTAAGTGAGAGACTGTGCCTCACAAAACAAGGCAGATGGAAGCTGAAAATGACCCCCAAGGTTCACTTCTGACTACATACACACATATAGACACATGCACCAATACCTGCGCACACACACACACACACACACACACACACACACACACACACACACACAGAGAGAGAGAGAGAGAGAGAGAGAGAGAGAGAGAGAGAGCACAATTGTTGAGTTTTAGCTGCCTGACTTGCTCTCTTATGTTGAGAGAGGGAGAGAGAGACAGAGAGACAGAGAGACAGAGAGACAGAGAGAACAATTGTTGAGATTTAGCTGCCTGGCTTGCTCTCTTATGTCATACCATATCAGCAATTCAGTGATCTGACTTTCCTTGGGGAAACTAGATCTTTCCCAACCTTAGTTCACAGGTTTGCATGGGACAAATGTTAGTCTCCCTGAAGAAGTAGAAATGACTTAGGCTTTGGTCAGTCAGTGGTTCAACCCTCAGAGCCTGCAGCAATCTCTTATCTTTGGTCAATAAATGTCAAATGTGGGTTTTTCATAAGAAAGGGCTTTGTCACATGGAACTTTTGAAGCAATGGTGCTAAATAGGCTGACAGGTGTTACTGTCTCTGTTACTGCCTTGTCCATCATTCTACCATTGCCCTCCCCAAACTGCATTCTGGTCATGGATGCCCCTGGTTACTTCCCATTAGGTGGTCAGCTCACACTTGGTCCTAACAAGAGATGAGCCTAAATGCACACCTGTCCTTATGGACTCTGAAGTGTGACACTGAAAGCACTGATGTTCCACTACTGGGAAGTTGGGTTTCTGAGACTCTGATAACAAACCCTAGAAGCCCCACCCTCTACCCTTGTGTTCCTGCCATGGGCTGTAACTGGCGGCTCTCTGAGTCATTGGCTGTGGGTTCTGCGGTGGTTACTTTATGATTCTCACACAACACTCAGAAGACTTCACCAGGCAGAAGCAGTAAGAGTAAGGCTTTCATAGAAAGCCCTGTGATGAAGCATCATAAAAACAGAGGGGGCACAAGGTCGCCGAGCCAACTCCACCTCCTTCATCTCCTAGAGGTTAAAAGAGAGCAAGGGCAAAGCCCCAGGTGCTGGGACCTGCTCAGCCTTCCAGAGAAGATGAAGTTCCTCCTGCTACTGCTGGCTTTATCTCTGCCCCCTGGGACAAATGCAGGTGAGTGAGCAACACCTCCTTTAGTGGCCTGACCCTGCTGTCACCAGTAGTGGGAGGTCAGAGGCCTTTCTCAGGAAGAGCAATGGAGTGCTAGCCCCTCCCTGAGCCATACCTTGTCATCTGGAAAGTGGATTTTCCTAGAAGTCCATGGTAAAGGGTAGGGACCTGCAAAGCAGAGAACAGTATGTTCTCCCAGGGCAGGCAGAATGGGCCTGGCTTCACCTACATTGATCCAGGCACTCCCTCATCAAGTATTCCTCAAGGAAAGCTACATCCCAGAATAGGTCTTCAGGATGATGTCCTATGAGTAAGTGCTTTTACTGAATGCCAAGCCACGGAGGTCTGTCCTTCACCTCTGAGCATCGAAGGCTCTTGCTGGTTCCAACAGTGTTCAAGCTTGAGTCACAAGCTTGTGCTACTCTCTAGAATGCCAGTCTCTGCATCTAGGAATGAATGGGGAGTCATCACCCATGAAGCCATTGGTCTTTATTGAGCACCTACTACATGCTATGCCTGTAGAAATAGTATGCCACAAAATTTACACTGAAGCTTTGGTCCCTAGAAAACAGCACTGTTCCAGGCATCACAGGGCTGTGGAGCTGGGCATGGTTAGACAGTCTCTGGGTACAGAAGTCAGGGGACAGTCATGCTGAGTCCTCAGCATTTCCTTGCTCAGAGACTTAGGCTACTCCACCTATGTGGAAAAAAAAGATTGGTAGACCAAGACATAGTTGTCTCTCCTTTTTGAGAAGGGGGACTTGCTGGCCCTCCTCTCAGCCTGCTCTTAACTAAAGTCCTCCCTGGTTCCCAAATGCCTAACAAGTCTGGAACACAATGCTCATTGGTGGACTAGCAGGTGCATACAAAAAGGCTGGCTTTCCTTTTAGGCGAGATCATCGGGGGACATGAAGCCAAGCCCCACTCACGTCCCTACATGGCTTATCTTCAGTTCATGGATCGGGATTCTCAGAGGAGGTGTGGTGGGTTCCTCATAAGAGAGGACTTTGTGCTGACGGCTGCTCACTGTTCAGGGAGGTAAGCAGCAAGAAACAGTCCAGGCCCTCCTGGGGACTTTACACAGAGACCCTGCCCTCTTCCTAAGGGACTTGGGATGAGAGAGGGCCAAGCAAGTATGATGAAGGAGAAGCAGGCTGGCACCAGATTCTCAGCCAAGAAATCAAGCACATTTAGATGGGGGTTAGTATTGCAGTGCAAACCAAACAAGGCAGAGTGCTTTATTAGCACACTGACCTGGGAACCTTGGTGCATCTGCTGGTCTGTGATCTGATCTATTTTTATAGCTAAGTAGATCAAGGCATAGTCACTCCTGTTCCCTGAGCTTCCCTCAGCTAAAGCACTACCATGGCCAGCATGTCCTGTCCTTCACACCTCCTGGGCTGCATCCTCTCTGAAACCACATCTCTCATCTACACTCTGCTCTCTTCACAGCTCAATAAATGTAACCTTGGGGGCGCACAACATCAAAGCAAAGGAGGAGACCCAGCAGCTCATCCCTGTGGCAAAGGCCATTCCACACCCTGACTATAATCATAATGACTACTCCAATGACATCATGCTCTTAAAGGTGAGACCTGCCACAGCCTCACACATCCCCTCCACCCCACCCCCATAGTTTCCTGTGCTCTCCTTGCTGCAGGGCTTGTCCCTCCCCTCCTGCTCTCTCCCTGCTTTTCCTCCCTGCCACCCCTGGATTTCAGAGTGCCACAGGTCAGCAGGCTGTGGCTGAGCTGCTCTCTCCTGCCTCTTCTCCACCAGCTGAAGTGGAAGGCCAGGAGGACTAACGCTGTGAGGCCCCTCGTCCTGCCCAGTCGCCGCGGGGTCCATGTGAAGCCAGGGGACATGTGTTATGTGGCTGGCTGGGGAAGGACAGCAGTGAAAGGCAAATGCTCAAACACACTTCAAGAGGTGGAGCTGACGGTGCAGAAGGATCAGGAGTGTGAGGCCCGCTATCCAAATTGTTACAACAAAGCCACTGAGATATGTGTGGGGGACCCTAAGATCAATCGTGCTGCCTTTCGGGTAAGCTGGATTTTTATCCTCTATGGAAAAATGGGAGTGAAAAAGCAATCTGGGACGTAGAGTCAAGCATCAGGAGACTCATTGACCGTGACCCTTCTTCCTAGGAACAGCAGACACCAGCCACTAACTGGGGCTTCAGGGTTGATGAGGTCCTCTGTGAAGGCAGCTGGTGTAAAAGGAGAATTTGCAGTCCTCCTGACACCAGGCCCAGACTTTAGAAAGCTGTGCTCCCTGTGTGTCATCACCACAAACACCTGTCTCCTCACAGCAGGCACCTGTCCTCCATGCTCATATCAGGCCCACTCCCCTGTTGGTGGGATCTTAAACAATGGCCTGCAGAAGAGGGTCCCACACACCCTCATACAGAGAGGATCACAGACCTGGAGAGAGGGCAGAGCTGGGCTCAGAAGAGAAATGAAGCAGTAACTCTGTCCACAATCAGAGCAGAATCCAGACACTAGGCCTGCCCTCTAATCTCCCACATGTAGAGTACACAAGGCACACTTCTGGAGAGGGAGGCTGGGACTAGGGAGAAATCAGATCAGACCCCTATGACCCCTCTCTATTCACAGGGGGATTCTGGAGGGCCTCTCGTGTGCAAGAAAGTGGCTGCAGGCATCTTATCCTTTGGAAAAGAAGATAGTTCAACACCAATAGCCTTCATGAGAGTGTCAAGTTTCTTACCTTGGATAAAGAAAACGATGAAACGCAACTAACAACAGAGCAAAACAGACTCCTCCCTGACTCACCGTCTTCCCTAGGCTGAGTCCAGGGCTGTCCTAGGACAGAAGCCAGCAACTCAATAAAGTCTCTTTGCTCAATGGAAAGACTGGTTTCCTGCGCATTCATGGGCATCAACTCTGTGCCAGCAGGCCAATGGCACGTTTCTGCTCACCCCAACACCACATACACCCCACACCCCAAAGCTCAGTCAAGGCCATTGTCCAGATAGTTTTTACTTGTCCTACTCTCCAGTGCCTGCCTTTTTATAGGCCCGAAGCTGAGTCCTTCAAGAGAAAATTTGTGCATCTCTAGTCTTTGTCTCCAGGGTGAACTTCTCCCTCTTCTGTGTCATTGGAGGAAAAGAAAGGGAAAGCACCATTGGTCTGGAGACATGGGAGACAGAGCCGAGGTCACTGTAGATGGGACTCCATGGGCACAGTATCTCTGTCCCACAGCGTCCCCATTAAGTGACAGCTCTTTCAGTAAGGGCTGCTCCACATCTAGGACAAGTTTCCCTGTCCTCTGGACACAGTGCCAACCTCCTCAGGCCTCCCAGCTCCACCCCCTTCTCTTCATGCCCGCTGAGAAGAGTCTACCAGCTTCTGTGCTTTACAGTCCAGTAGATCTGAGCATGTTCCTACTTCTTATCTGCCTACCTAGGACACCCAAGTCCACATGTGGTTCCTTTCAGCTGGGCCTCAGCTGTGTGATGCCACCCTCAATCTTAACCTTGTGAGGTGCTAGCAAATGTCCAGGCCAGATGTGGCATCACAGAGCATCCACGGAGGCCAGGGCACTCCGAGTCTCTCTCCAGAACCCTGCACACACCTCCCACATGCTCAGCTCTAAGAAGCCCCTCCCAGTCAGCTCAGTCCCCTGTGTGCTCAGCATCCATGGCACAGGGTCACTCAGCAGCATGAGCTGCTCTGAGCATGCTCATCTTAGTCACTGCTGGCCTCCAGGATAAGATTCCCTGCTGGTCACCTGGCCTATGTCAGTCTTTGACATCTAAAGTGGTAAAAACCTTAAAAAATAAATAAAAAACAAAAATTCCAAAAAAGGAAAAACAAAAACAAGCAAGCAAACAAACAAAAAACTAGAAATCTCTAGTTTTTCATCAGTCAGCTTTGCAGTGTATGATGTTTGGAAGTGAGTTTACTCTTTAGCTTCTAGTAGGAAAGAATTCAGAAAAGTATCACTTTTACCCAGGAGATAGGGCAGGTCTTACAGAATAACACAACTGAGGTAGCCCTGGTGTATTTATTTTAAAAATAACAGATACATGGGCATTATGCAGATTTAAATCATAAGATATGCACACATTCAGGAGCATAACTCAGAAACAGAATTAAATGTGTGTCCAGAGACTGTGAAATAAAGAAAAATGAAAAACTGGTGTGTAGAAGTAGCTGTAATATTTAGACATTTTTGGTTCCTGCTGCCTCCATAGTTCCTAAGACAACTTGTCTTCTCATTTTTAGGATGTTAGGATGTTAGGCATGAGACTGTAGCCAGAATGTGTGGCTTTTTGTTAAATAAAAATCTCCATGTGTTGGGCTCACATTACTAACTAAAATATAAGCTGCCAGGCAAGGTTGCTCATTCCTTAATCCAGGGATTGGGAAGTAGATGCAGGTAGATCACTGAGCCCAAGGCCAGCCAAGGATATAGAGATACTCTGTCTCAAAACAAACTAAAAAATGCTTCATGTAACTGAAATAAACTTAACACTTTAAGGAGCCTTGGCTCTGGTTCTGTCCTGTCAGACAGTTAACAAATGACATGATTGGTAGTTGCTGCTTCCTGCCTCACTGTCCCAAATAGACACGGTGTCACATTCTTCTGGGAGATGAAGTACACTCTCTCTTTTGGTCAGGAAACTTTTCAAAGCTTACTGTTATATAGGAAGAGATGTAGGTGGCACCCAGTTTCTATAGGAATCTGGAAACAAGGCCTGCCTGGAGACACTCTAAGTACCAGGATTCTTTGGAGACAACAAAAACAAAGAAGAATGCAGAATCAAAGAAACATGTATGTTAGAACTCATACAGTCACATATGTGTTCAGTTTACCTGTTACATTTACTTTGGGGAGATGGTTCTATGGCTTAAAATAACTTTGAAAACCATTACTGTATATCCTTAGAGTGGACATAAATAAAATTCTACCAAAGTAACTGACCCCACAAACAGCATCAACCATGTTAGGACAGAGCCTGAACTGAGCCCATGATTGCCAGGCCACCAAGGCAAAAGTGACCTCAATGTCATCTTATCTCTGGTAAGTAACTTGCTGGCATCCCACACAAAAGATGAGCCCATGCTCAGACTTCCCCTGGAGAGGAAACCCCTGGGCTCCTCCCATAGCTGCATGGAGAAGGTGTTCAAAGGCACCTGGCTTTGCTCCCTTGAGCACATATTGCAGTAGATGCAGAGGCAGGAAATGCCTTAAACACGGACTGCTTCACATTCTTCTGCGCTGTGGAAGGATCTCTCACCCTCAGCATTTGCAAAAGAGCTTTCTCTGGTCCCCTGAATCTCTGTACTGATGTTCAGCTCCTGGGAAAGGAAATGCTTCAACTCATCAAGACCCAACTTCTCTGCTCCTCAGGCCATTGTAGTTCATCCCAGCAAGCCAGAGAGAGCCATGAGACACCGTGAAGGACACAGACCAGACACAAGCACACAAGGTCTTGTTTATTTTTTTTTCTGTGGAATACATGCTGGTATACCTCCATTTCCTGTCCAAATTCATACAACTGCCAGCACCATTTTCTGTAGACTTAGAGAATATAGAGTTTCTGTCTGTATTTGTGTCCTGTGACACCTTTCTATGTTGGTTTTGGCTCATGTAATACAGTTCCTGGTTTGCAGTAGGTGATTCTGTTTGGGGATATTAGGAAATATAGCCTTGGTGGGGGAGGTTTCAAAGACTCCCAGCATTGCCAATTTCTCTCCCTCTCTGTCACCCCTCTCTCTGCCCCCACTCTCTGTGTGTGTGTGTGCTTGTGTGAGTTTGTAAATACAGTAAATGATATGAGCCCTCACCTCTGCTCCTGCTACCATGCCTTCCACACCTGGAACCCCACGCCCTAGTCTTACTCCTAGAAGTGGCCTTAGTCATGGTGTTTTTTTTTTTTCACAGTAATAAAAATGTAACTAATACACATGTATACCTATTGTACCTTGACAGAAATGCAGGAATGGCTTCATTTTACATGTTTCTCAAGAGTAATTGACCTAAAAGCGATGTGGGAGAGGCTACAAAGAACACCGCCACCTATAGATGAATGACGACTACCAGCAGTATCCGGCTGCCACCCTGCATGATGGAGTTTATTCTTAAACCCAGAAATGTCATTTTCCCCTACAGCTACAATACATGGCTTCCAAAGCAAAGAAAAGTGTGGACATCTGGCCCTTCTAGAAATGATCACCTGTAATTCCAGCACTCCATGGGCTGAGATAAGAGGACAGAGCTTTCAACCTCAGCCTCGGCCACAGAGCAAGATCCTGTCTAGAAACTGAGCTTCTCTGTCTACAATCTTTAATTTTGGTTGCCCAGAAGTCTTAATTCCTGAGAAACGAGTCGACCATAAATAATGGATTAATATATAGCTGGGTCGTCAATTCTGATTTCCAGGGGAAAATAGGTTCATTGAACTGTCTCTCAAAGTCATTAGACTGCTAATAAAAGTCTATGATAGACCTCTGAAAGAGGATAAAGAAGAGACCACTAAGACACCTGGACAATCAAGTTTAGAGTCACTGCAGCAGATAACAAATCCTTGCAGCTTAAACTCTGAGGTCAGAGTTCCAAGCAAAGCTTTCCAGAGATCATTTAAGTCACCCTCCTCACAATGATCACCCAGTTTATTGGACCAAAGACCCTGTCAACTTAGTGCCAAGGAGAGTGACATCTTCAGCTCATTGTAGTTTGACACTGGGCAACCATATTGTGACAACTCATATGAGATCTTCCTGTTGTGGTTTTCAATCTCTACAAGAGAGTTAGAAAGTTTGGATGTGGTCCAGGAATGCCCTCCTTCTCCTTATTGTCCTTAGAATGTTAGTTAATGCAAGTCATCGTGAATAGCTACCTAGAGAGCGTTCATACAGTTTCACCTAAGAAGCTGAAGTGTTGACTAGAATAGGGCAAGAAGTGAATAAATAGAATTCCTTTTGCCTCTCTGGGCTATTCCTCCCCATACCAAGTTTTGCATGTTTCATACAGCTAATTTCTTAAAGATATGACAAATTTAAAATTTTACATTAAATACATACTTTTAGGCTTCAAAATGATGTTCTATGTATATGGCGTAAAATGATTAAATCAAACTAATTGACACATCCACAAACTGAAATACTTTTCATTTTTGTAGTGAGAAGAGAAATTTTGACAGTGGTATTGAAATACATAATGTATTATGAACATATTGAGCAGTAGATCTCAGAAAGTTATTCATTCCCTAACTGAAATTCTGTGCTTTGATCAACAGCTTCCAATTCTAATCTGTCCAGTTCCATGAACTAACTCCTTTCTACTTCCACAAGTTTCTTGTTTTAGATTTGAAACTCAGTGAGATCATGCATTAGTTTTCTACTGTTCATAGCATATTTATAGCTTAGAATCATGTCTCAGTTTTATCTGTATCATTACAAATGACGAGACTCATCATCATTTTAATATCTAGATAAAGGACTGGCGAGATGGCTCAGGGGTTTACAGAACTTGTTGCTCTAGCAGAGGACTCAGGTTCATTTCCCAGCATCCACAACCATGCTAACTCCAGGTCTAGGGCATTCATTGTCCTATTCTGACCTCCATGGGCAACACACACACACACACACACACACACACACACACACACACACACACACACACACACACACACACACACTTATTCTTAGGGCAAGGCAAGCCTGTCTCACTTCCTAGAGCTGATCTCACACAGCTCTAACCATCTCGAGCTCTCAGTTCAGATTCTCAGCTCACTCCAGTCAATATCTGCCTTTTCTATGGCTGGAGAATTGTGTGTCTCACTCCTGGATCTATTCCTCTAAATAATTATTCCAGATCTAATCAAGGTCCTTGTTTATTATAGAAAATCCTAGACAATGTTGTGGAAAACACCACTGTAGTCCTCAGCAGGGAAGCCAGGCCTGATCCAATCTTACTGTGCATCAAATTCAACCCTGAAGCTCTTGCTTAAAGATAAAGGCCAATACCTAATAAACAGGTAGCCAGCACGTGTCATTGTAATTGGTTATTATACTTAACTGTGTATGACTCTAAGACATGATCATTGGCCACAGGACAAACACTTGCTTTGGAGATTTCTCTGTGACGTCCTAGCAGTTTAGGAGAGTCAGAGTGAGTTAAGATGAATTCATCAGACTCTTTCAACAGATGATTCCACCGTATGATCAAGTCCCAGAGGTTAATTAGATGCTGCACTGAAACTCTGCCTAGTCAAATAAGGCTCTGAATCAAGTCTCACTAAGTACCCTATCAATTTGTCTTGTGTATTTGTAGTGATATAATTGTTTTATGATAATTTGGGTGCCAGTATTATTTTCAAGAAAGAAAAAAAACTAAGAAATTAAAAAATGATTTTACCAGAATGGGAAAATATGTAAGAGATAACAAAGGACAGACTTTTGTCTTAGTGCAGATACTGAGGTCTCAGGCCATTGTCAACCACAGCCTCAAACCCTGATTCCTGGTCTTTTTTTATCCTGGCTTAGCTCATAAGACGTCAATGTGGGGGCAGTGTTATTTTTACTCAAACCAGAAACCTTCCTTAACTAATAGAGCCAATCAGAGCTCAGGTGCACAGCTTTAAATGCCTGTGAGGTCCCTGGGCACTCACCTTCTTCATCTCTTCAAGGGCTGTGTCTACTGTGCCCTCCTCCAACCTGAACAGCCTCCTGGGAAGATGTCACCCATCCTGATTCTCTCGATCTTTCTTCTGGCAAGTGGAGCTGGTGCAGGTGAGTGAACACCCCTGTCCCACAGGTGCCACCCATAATACCTCTGTGGACTCTCTGCCCGGCTCTAGTCAGGAACTCTGCTCCACAGCACCAGGAGCTTTCTGAACCTCAGGTCCCATACCAAGCCCACACATGGGAATCTGTCACTGGCTAGATTCTCAACAAGGTCTGAGGAAGGGAGGTGTCCTCAGAAGACTAGTGGACACTATATACTTTCTGCTCTTTTTGTCAGCTGGAGAGTAAATCTTTCTTAGATAGGTATGTTACAGAAAATGCAAAGACACTGAGAACTTTCTCATTAACTTTACTTGAGCCCATTGAAGTGCAGCTCTAATGACCATCCTGCCATGGGGTAAGGCCACCAGCTCTGGAATAGTAGCATCATTTAGTAACCTCCATACTCAGCCTGCTGAAGAGAGGCCTAGGGTGGCAAGAGGCCTGCACTTCACACTCCACTAGCTCTGCAATCTAGTTTTAGTTGGCCTCTGTATTTCTGTCTGAGGTCCTCAGATATTCCCATATTTGCCAGTATACTACTCCAGTGTCCCCAGGCCCTCAATCCCATGAGCTCTAACCAGCCCTACAGCTCTGTAGTACTCATTCACCCACACAGTCAACAGCAGTTTTACTGAGATGCTGAGCACCAGAATAGGAGAATTTTTGAAGGCCCCCTCCATAGGGCTTGGGGGTAAAAGGTGACTAACTGACAACAGCCAAGACATTAGAGGAGTCACAGAGACCCATGAACAAAGAAAAGACCTAGGTGCTTCACCCAGAATCCACTTGGATTTCACCATGGTGAAGATAGAGCTTGTCCCTCCATGTATTTGTAAATCAGGGGCTGAAGGACAAGCGCTGCCTTTAAGAGCAGGGCTGCGGCTTAAGATTCAGCAAAGATTTTTCTATGTGCAAAGAATTCTGTCTACAACAGGTTTGGGAATGGAGAATCCTATTACATTCACACTTACCTAGCTCTTCCCTCCTGACCTCATCTGCTGCTCCCAGACACCCCATATTCTAGCCTTTTCTTTCAGAGGAGATCATCGGGGGCCATGAGGTCAACCCCCACTCTCGCCCCTACATGGCATTTATTCAGTCTGTCAATAATGGTGGGAAGAAGAGTCGCTGTGGAGGCTTCCTGGTGCAAGACAACTTCGTGCTGACATCTGCTCACTGCCTGGGAAGGTGAGGAGAAGCATCAGGACCACCATTTCTGAGACCCCAACAGGAGTGTCCATCCCTAATTGTGGATGCTCCTGAAAGAGCACTGTGAAAATGGGAGTCTGAAAACAGGGAAACTTTGAGGTCAGAGGGTGAGAGGTCAGAGCCTGCAGCACACTTGAGTTGAAAACAACGTCACTGGCCAAACTAAAGCAGTGGTAAGACTGAACATACACAGTAAGAGTCAATGCAAGCTTTGGAATATTGCCTAGAAGTAAGAGGGAAACCCCCGACATCTAACGTCCTTGAATTGAAAAGAAAATTAGGTCAAACCCTGAGATCCTCCTATCTCCTCAAGTCCCCTCAGCTAGACCACTACCCTACCCATCCTGCCTTTTACACCTCCTGGATGGTGCACACATCTCTCATCTTGACCCTGCCATCCTCACAGCTCAATGAAAGTCACTCTGGGAGCGCACAACATCAAGGCACAGGAGGAGACCCAGCAGACCATCCCTGTGGTGAAAGCCTTTCCACACCCTGACTATAATCCTAAGGACCAGTCCAATAACATCATGCTCTTAAAGGTGAGACCTGTCACCCCCACCCATCCACACATACCATACACCCATTTCCTGTGCTCGGCTTGTTGCAGGGCTTGCCCCAGCCCTCCTGCTCTCTTCCTGCTTCTTTTCTCTCTTCTGCCCTGGCTTTAAAGTATCCCAGGCCAGTAGGCTCCTGGCTGAGTTGGTCCTTCCTGCCTCTTCCCAAAGCTGGAGAGAACAGCCAAGAGAACTAAAGCTGTGAGGCCCCTCAACCTGCCCAGGCGCGGGGTTCAGGTGAAGCCAGGGGATGTGTGCTATGTGGCTGGTTGGGGAAAGATGGCTCCTGAAGGCGAATACCCAAACACACTTCAAGAGGTGGAGCTGACAGTGCAGAAGGATCAGGAGTGTGAGGCTCGCTATCCAGGTTATTACAACAAAGCCACTGAGATATGTGTGGGGGACCCAAAGATCAAGCGTGCTGCCTTTCAGGTGAGTTGGATTTTTATCCTCTATGGCTCTGTGGGAGGGGAAAAGCTATCTGGGACCTAGAGTCAAGCATCAAGGGACACTTGGCTGTGATCCTTCTTCTCCCTGGGAACAGCAGACACCAGCCACTAACTAGGGCCTCAGAGCTGACCAGGAGTCTCTTTGAGACAGCTGGTGTAAAAGGAGAATTTGCAGTCCTCCTGACACCAGGCCCAGACTTCAGAAAGCTGTGCTTCCTGTGTGTCATCACCACAAACACCTGTCTCCTCACAGCCGGCACCCACATTTGTCAATTGTCCTGTCCTCCGTGCTCATATCAGGCATGCTCACTTGCCTGTCACTGGTTTCTTAAACAATGGCCTGGAGATGAAGGTCCCACACACCCTCATAGAGAGTGGATCAGAGACCTGGAGAGAGGGCAAAGCTGGGCTCAGGATAGAGGTGAAGCAGTAACTCTGTCCACAATCAGAGCAGGAATCCAGACACCAGGCCTGCCCTCTTATCTCCCACATGCAGAGCACTCAATGCACACTTCTGAGTGGAGACATGACATGGGAGGGAAGTTGGGACTTGGGTCAGCACAACTCAGACCCCTATGGCCCCTCTCCATTCACAGGGGGATGTTGGAGGGCCTCTCGTGTGTAAAAAGGCAGCTGCAGGCATCATAGCCTTTGGATATGATGATGGTTCAACACCTGAAGTCTTCACCAGGGTCTCAAGTTTCTTATCGTGGATAAAGAAAACAATGAAACGCAGCTAACTACAGAGAAAACAAGACCCCTCCCTGACTCACCGTCTTCCCTAGGCTGAGTCCAGGGCTGTCCTAGGACAGAAGCCAGAAACCCAATAAAGTCTCTTTGCTCAATGGAAAGACTGGTTTCCTGTGCATTCATGGGGATCAACTCTGTGCCAGCAGGCCAGTGGCACGCTTCTGCTGTCTGCTCACCCAACACCACATACACCCCACACCCCAAAGCTCAGGCAAGGGCATGACCAGATCACTTTTACTTTTTCCACTCTTCAGTGCCTGCCCTTCTGTCAGGACTAAAGCAAAACTTGGGTATCTCTAGTCTTGGTGTCCAGGGTGATCTTATCCCTCCTCTGTGTCATTGGAGGAAAGGAGAGGGAAAGCACCATTGGTCTGGAGACATGGGAGACAGAGCCGAGGTCACTGTAGATGGGACTCCTTGGGCACAGTATCTCCGTCCCACAGCGTCCCCTTTAAGGGACAGCTCTTGCAGTAAGGGCTGCTCCACATCTAGGACAAGTTTCCCTGTCCTCTGAAGGCAGGGTCAGCTTTTCCCAGCCACCTTGCTCTACCACCTTCTTTTCATGCCTGCTGAGATGAATCTATCAATTTCTGTGCTTTGCAGACCAGTAGATCTGAGCATGTTCCTACTTCTTACTCCTTTACAACCCCAAGCTATGTGTTTTTTCTTCCATCAGGGCCTCAGCCCTGTGGTTCCAGCCCAACTTAGGCCCTGGCAGAAAGGACTGCTCAAAGGTCCAGGCCAGAAGTGACAGCAGAGAGCATCCATGGAGGCCAGGGCACTCAGTGTCTCTCTCCAGAACCCTGCACACACCTCCCACATGCTCAGCTCTAAGAGCTGAGTCAGCTCAGTCCCCTTTATGTTCAGCATCCATAGCATAGGGTCACTCAGCAGCATGAGCTACTCTGAGCATGCTCATCTCAGTCACTGCTGGCCTCCAGGATGAGACTCCTTGCTAGCTACCTGGTCTATGTCAGTCTTTGACATCTGCAGTGAAAAAAAAAAAAAAACCCAAACTAGAAATCTCTACTTTTTCATCAGTCAGCTCTGAAGTGTATGAGGTTTAGAAATTATTTTAGTCACTTAGCTTCTACTTGGAAAACTATTGAGGAAATCAACATTTTTCCCCAGGAGAGAGGTCTATTGGTAGAGAATAACACAACTAAGACAGCCTCATTGTATTTTTTTAAATTAACAGATACAGAGCCATTATGCAGATTTAAATCATAAGAGATGCACATATTCAGCACCATAATTCAGAAACAGAATTAAACACAAATCAAGGAGATTAGTAAAAACTGGTGTTTAGAAATACCTGTATTAGTTAGACATTTTAGGTTACTGCTACCTCCATAGTTTCTAAGACTACTTGTTAGGAGGTTGTTGGCATGAGACTGTAGCCAGAATGTATGGCTTTTAGTTAAATAAAAGTCTCCCTGTTTTGGGCTCTCATCACTAAAAATATCCAAGCTGCCAGTCATGGTTTCTCATACCTTAATCTAGCATTGGGATGCAGAGGCAGGCAGATACCTAAGTTCAAAGCCAGTGAAAAATATAAAGAGAGATTCTGTCTCAAAATGAACAAACAAAAAATATTTAAATTAACTTAAATAAACTTAGAACTCCAAGCATCCTTGGCACAGAGTCCAGTCCTGTCAGACACTTAACAGTTTATGTCTCCCTGTCACAAATAGACACGGCATCACTTTCTTCTGGGAGATGAACTAATATCTCCCTTTGGGTCAGGAAACTTTCAAAGGCATGCTTTTATATGGGAAGAGATGCAGGTGGCACACAGTTTCTGACAGGGACCTGGAAAACAAACCCTGAGACCCTCTAAGGACCAGGATTCTTGGAAACAACAAAAACAAGGAAGAGTACAGAATCAAAGACACATCATGTATGTTAGAAATCATACAGTCACATATGTATTCAGTTTAGGTATTACATTTACTTTGGGGAGATGGTTCTATGGCTTAAAATAACTTTGAAAACCATTGCTGTGTATCCTTACAGAGGAGATAAATAAAAGTCTACCAAAGATAGTAACTGACCTGATAAACAGCATCAACCATGCTAGGACAGAACCTGAACTGAGCCTAGGATTTCCAGGCCACCAAGGCACAAGTGTCATCTTATCTCTGATGAGCAGCTTGCTAGCATCCACACAGAAGATGAGCCCATGTTCAGACTTCCCCTGGAGAGGAAACCCCTGGGCTCCTCCCTCAGCTGCATGGAGAAGGTGTTCAAAGGCACCTGGCTTTGCTCCCTTGAGCACATATTGCAGTAGATGCAGAGGCAGGAAATGCCTTAAACACAGACTGCTTCACATTCCTCTGCACTGTGGAAGGATCTCTCACCCTCAGCATTTGCAAAAGAGCTTTCTCTGCTCCCCTGAATCTCTGTACTGATGTTCAGCTCCTGGGAAAGGAAATCAACTCATGAAGACCCAACTTCTCTGCTCCTCAGGCCATTGTAGTTCATCCCAGCAAGCCAGAGAGAGCCATGAGACACCCTGAAGAACACAGACCAGACACAAGAACACAAGGTCTTCTTGGTTTTTTACTGTGGAATACATGCTGGGAAACCTCCATTGTCCTGTCCAAATTCATACATCTGCCAGCACCATTTTCTGTAGACTTAGAGAATATAGAATTTCTGTCTGTATTTGTGCCCCATTACACCTGCCTGAGGTGTATTTTAGTGAGGATGCCTCCTGGGTTCATGTATTTCAGCACCTCATTCCCAGTTGGAGATGGGGATATTAGGAAATATGGCTCTGATGGACAAAGTACATTGCTGGGACAAGCTACCAGGGTTTAAAGACTCACACCATTCCCAAAATCCCTTCCTCCCTCTCTTCTTTCTCTCCCCTTGTGCCCTGGTGTGTGTGTGTGTGTGTGGTGTGTGTGTGTGATTAAAGTAAATGGTGTGAACCCTCAACTCTCTGCTCCTGATGCCATTCTTACCAATTGACGCCACTCATGGAACCCCAGTCTTTCTCCTAGAAGTTTCTTGGTAATGACGTTTTTATCATAGTGATTGAAAAGCAACTAAAAGACATGCTTTTAAGTAACTTGCATATTTTACCTTGGCAGAAATGCAAGAATGGATTCATTTGTCACATTTTGCAGGAGTAGTTGCCCTGAAGCATTGTGGGAGCCTACAGAGAACACAGCCACAGCTGAATGACAACTGTCTGCAGGACAGGCTGCTGCCCTACATGATGTAGTTTATCCTTTAATCCAGAAACGATGTTTTTTTTTTTCCTATAGCTACATACATGGATTTCAAATGAATGAGTTGTGTAGACAACTCAACATCTTAGAAATGACTACATGCAAGTGTTCTGGAGTCTGAGCAAGGTGTGGTGATGCTCAGCTGTAATTCCAGCACTCCATGGGCTGGGATTGGAGGACACAGCTTTCAACCTCAGCCTCAGCTGCATATCACATCCTGACTAGTAAATGAGCTTCTTCCTCTACAATCTTTATTTTGATTGCCTAGAAGTCTTAATTCCTGAGAAATAAGCAATGGGTTAATATATAGATACCTCATCAATTCTGATTTCCAAGTGAAAAGGGGTTCATTGAAAACTCTTCAAGTTTTATAACTACTAATAAAAGAATATAACAGACCTCTGTAGCAGGATAAAGTAAAGAACACTATGACACTTTAACAATCAAGTTTAGAGTCACTGTAGCAAGCAGTGAATCCTTGTTCCTTAAACACTTGCATGAAAAGCTTTCTAGAGATCATTTAAGTCACCTTCCTCACAATGTTCACCCATCGTATTTGGCCAAAGACCCTGCCAAGGAGAGTGACATGCCAGCATCACTGCAAAATGTCACCAGGCAACCATGTTATAACAAGCTAGCTGAGATCTTCCTACTGTGGATTGAAATCTCTACAAGAGAGGTGCAAAGTTTGCATTGGACCAGGCATGTCCTGTTCTCACCATTGTCCTTTTAATGTCTGGATAATGGACTGGAGAGATTGATCAGCAGTGTAGGTCACTTGTTGCTCTAGCAGAGGACTTAGTTTCAGTTCCCAGCATCTACATGATATCTCACAGCCATCCTAAATCCTAAATCCAGGTCCACTGCATCTGTTGTCCTATTCTGACCTCCATGGGACAAAACACACACACACACACACACACACACACACTGGTTCTTAGGGCAAGGCCAGCTTGTCTCATCTCCCAGATTGATAGCACACAGCTCTAATCATTGCATGCTCTAAGCTCAGATTCTCAGCTCATTCCAGTCAGTATCAGCCTTTTCACTCACTGGAGCCCTGTGTGTCTTACTCCTGGATCTATTCCTCTAAATAATCATTCAAGATCGAATCAAGGTCACTGTTTATTATTGTGGAAAATACCACTGTAGTCCTCAGCAGGGAGGCCAGTGCTGATCCAATCTTGCTGTGCATCAAATTCAACCCTGAAGCTCGTTTGCTTAGAAATAAATGTCAATACCTAGGAAACAGGTAGCTGGTACATGTCATTGTAATTAGTTATTATGCTTAACTATCTGTGGCTCTAAGACATGATCATTGGCCACAGGACAAACACTTGCTTTTGAGATTTCTCTATGATGTCCTAGCAGTTTAGGAGAGTCAGAGTGAGTTGAGATGAATTCATCAGACTCTTCCAACAGATGATTCCACCATATGATGAAGTCCCAGAGGTTAATTAGACTCTGTACTGAAACTCTGTCTAGCCAAATAAGGCTCTGTATCAAGTCTCACTAAGTACCCTATAAATTATCTGTGTATTTGTAGTGCTATAACTGTTACATGGTGAATTGGTTGTCAGTATTATTTAAAAAGGAAAGAAAGAAAGAGATCTTACCACATAGCACAGGATGTAAGAGGTAAAAAAGTAGAGACTTTTGGTACAGTGCAGACACAGAGGACTCCCTGGGGTCTCAGGCCATCCTCAACCACAGCCTCAAACCCAAACCCTCTTTTCTTTGTCTTTATCCTG